AGGAAATAATAAATATGTCAAGATCGAGGAATTGACAATTTTAAGGAAAATATTAAGTTGTGTATTTTGTGTTTATCTCATTGTGTGATGCATATTTTCACGATCTGACAGCAGAAATCGAATCAGCAGAGCCAGAAGAATCAGATTACGCGGGGAAAATAGGTTTTGAACGCTTAGATAGGGGTAAAATCAGACTTTATGAGGTATGTTGTATAATTATAGTTTGTGCTGTAATATGTCATGAGATCAGAATATGAAGGGAGTATATATGTGTTATTGTCACAGGTATATGTGAGGATAGCTCAGTAGAGTCTGTAAAATAGTTTAGTAGAAGAAAAAGTTATATAAAGAACAAAAAATTAAAAATAAACATTATTAAGTGAAAACCAAAGTTTACCTATTTTATGTAAGGTTTTGTCTTTGTGGGTTGAGGTATATGACAAAAAAGATTGGATAATGCACTCTTGTCGGTCAAACTTCCGCGTTCAAGTTAATGCGGAACATTGTTCCATTCTGGGAGACATGCAGAGGCAATGTCTCCCAGAATGAGACACTGCGACCGACAGGAGTGCACAATACACTCTTGTCGGTCAAACTTCCGCGTTCAAGTTATCAATGCGGAACAGTGTTCATTCGAGGAGCCCTCGAAAAGAACCTCACATCGACTCTCTCTTTCCGGCATCTTTACCGCATATAGAAAACTGCTCGTTCGCAACTTTGTGTGCAATCTAAGAGATGATTGCGGTAAAGATGCCGGGAAGATTGATGCTGCAGCCCCAGGCCGCACTCAGATTTCATCCCGCTACACAATTGTTCATCCAACAACTGTCATAGAGGTTGAAATTTTCGACCAGAAGTGAAACATATCATTTTTAAGACTGCGGCGCGCAAGCAAGTTTGAACCTTTCAAGGGTGATCAGTCCTTTACTCATTTCAAGACCTCTTGTTGCCTGATAAAACGATACTTCCTTCCTTGTGGGCCATTGAAAACCGCCCAAGCCGTCACAACTTGCTTCCTAAATTTTATTTGCGGAGTAATTATCATGCATATTTTATCGGATAATAATATCAAAGCTAAATTTCATATTATTTTTTAAAGATATGCATTTTCTGTCTAAATTTATTTTTTCTGTTTCCAATTCACGGAATAATATTCTTACAAGCATATACATAGCTAATATATATCATTTTAATAATAATAAAACCAAAATGATGTATTCTTCATATAGTTATTTAAAATTCGTTAACTAGAATTGTATTCAGAACGAGGCAAAGTTAGGAGATACATAAAAACCAATAACTCGATAAGTGATACCTTTTTTCCTGATATATCTATATGTGTTAATGTCAAACACGATTTGGAAAAATTAATTCTTTAAATCGGCTTAAGAATAAGACCAACATCAAAAGCATGGCTTAATAAATTAATAAATCAATGTTTAATTACCGATTCATGCATTTTTTTCAAAATTTCAAATTTCAAATTTTTGTTTCTCGAAAATATTAATTGTTTCCACTAGATTAACAAATAAACAATAAATTGGATTAATGTAATGTCCAATCATTCATTTTAAATTTTAGATTTAAAACAATATTTTTCTCCATATTATGAACTTGCAGGATCCTTTGAAATCTCATGATTTCATCTGTGACTTTCGTTTTCTATAAATTTTGATAGTCTGTAATGATGTTCGTTGTAAAGTCACGCAGAACTCATTCAAATGAAAATAATTTATTTTTGAAGAAAAAAATACTTTAAGATCAATTAATAGAAGAATAATATTTTATAGAAATGCGAAACTAAAAATTCAATCTTTTCTTTCAATTTTGTTGTTGTTTTGAAAAAATTTTTCTGTAAAACAATTGAATACTATCATCGTTAGCCTTATAAACCTAAAATTTATATCTCATTATGATTTGTTTGCAGTAACTTTGCCATTTTACAGATTAATTGATAAAGAGTTGATCGCATTTAAACAGGATGCAAGCTATACCATTATCTCCTTAACTAATTCCGCTAAAAAATTCCGACAATATTATAAACCATCTTTTGTTAATGTCACAATTTTAATAACATAACATATCAACTCATGATTAGTGCGTAGTTCAATATTTTCGGATTATGGATATTTTTCAAACTTTTTATTTGAATGGTTTACTCATCTGATTCCAAATTATCCAAAACTAAGTAATATTACAAAAATGATCGCTGTGCACTTATATGCAAAATATAATCATCAATTATGAAACACTCTGAAAATACTTAAAATAATTATTTCTATTTTTTAAAAACATATAAGAATTATACAATATTAGCCAATTATAATTCATCCAAGATCGCTATTTCTGTGAAACTGGGGGTTTTGACATTGAATTTTTGAAGTTGCAGTTACATTCTTGAGAAAAAAGCGGTTTTGACGAATTTGTTTTCATTTCGAATGTTTGTCTTTTTATCTGTTTTAGCTCTTTCAGCTGTAGATAAAGACAGATGTAGCCTCTGTCAGACAGGCTTAGGCATTGTTCACGATGCCATCAATGCTGGCTATGATGATAAGCAAATCGTTGATGCCCTTAAGGCCAGCTGCCCAACATTACCATCTCAATATGTTCCAATTTGCAATGCTTTTCTTAAAAACATCGAACACATTCTTGCTGAAATTCGTGCCGGAAAGGACGACAAAGCAATCTGTGCTGAATATTCATTATGCGCCCAGAAGCCAAAGGTTGAGGCTGCCAACGGTCTCATCTGCGACCTCTGCGTCGACCTTCTAAAGAAGGTTGAGGAGATCATGGTTAGCACAAAGATTGAAGCCGATGTTATCGCTCTTGCAACCAAGTACTGCGAGAAGCTTTCTGCTCCATATTCCACCCTCTGCGACTCCCTCGTCAAGCAGTATGTTCCAATGATCATGCAGTACCTCGAGCAGGGTCTGAGCACATTGAGATCTGCCAGAAGATTTCTCTCTGCGAAGCCTCAAAGAAGTCTCGCGCTGCTGACCCAGTTCTCTGCGATCTTTGCACAGAACTTGTCAAGAAGATCGAAGACATCATTGACGATACACAAGTTGAAGCCGATGTTGAGAAGCTCGCCAAGGAATACTGCGACAAGCTCCAGTCCATCTATGCCACACTCTGCGAAACACTCGTTTCCCAGTATGTTCCACAGATCATGCAGTGGCTTGACCAAGGCATCGAACATCTTGAGATCTGCCAGAAGCTCCACGTGTGCTCATCCTCCTCCTACAAGGTCAAGGACACAATTCTTTGCGACCTTTGCACAGACCTCATCGCCAAGATAGAAGAAATTATCAAGGATACAAAGCTTGAGGAAGATGTTGAGAAGCTCGCTAAGGAATACTGCGACAAGCTCGGCACAATGTACTCTGCCCTCTGCGAAGCCCTCGTTACACAGTACGTTCCACAGATCATTGAATGGCTTGACCAGGGTCTCGAACACGCCGAAATCTGCCAGAAGCTTCACATGTGCGCTGCCACAAAGGTTGCCCGCCAGCCCGAAAACGGCCTATTATGCAACTACTGCGTCACAATTGTCCAGTACATCGAGAAGCTCATGCTCGACACAAAGGTCGAATCTGAAGTCGCCAAATTAGTTGAGAAGTTCTGCGCCGCGTTTCCAGTCTTCTCTGGTGTCTGCGACAAGATCGTTGAGAAGTACGTTCCAATCATCATGCAGTGGCTCGAACAAGGCCTCGAACATGAAGAAATCTGCAAGAAGCTCGGTTTCTGCACAAACGCAATCAGAGCATCTTCCAACAGCTTCGTCTGCGACCTCTGCACAGAGCTCGTTGCTAAGGTTGAACAAATCATGGTCGACACAAAGCTCGAGAAGGATGTCATCGCTCTTGCCCAGGAGTACTGCGAGAAGCTCGCTGTTCCATGTCCACACTCTGCGACTCCCTTGTTGCCCAGTACGTCCCACAGATCATGCAGTGGCTCGAACAAGGCCTTGAGCACCTCGAAATCTGCAAGAAGATCTCCCTTTGCCCAAAGAACGCCCAACGCTCAAACAGCTTCGTCTGCGACCTCTGCACAGAACTCGTTGCCAAGGTTGAGGAAATCATGGTCGACACAAAGCTCGAGAAGGATGTCATCGCTCTTGCTCAGGAGTACTGCGAGAAGCTCGCTGTTCCAATGTCCACACTCTGCGACTCCCTTGTTGCCCAGTACGTCCCACAGATCATGCAGTGGCTCGAACAAGGCCTTGAGCACCTCGAAATCTGCAAGAAGATCTCCCTTTGCCCAACAACATTCGAATTGAATGTCGCCCGCATCCCAATCTCATACGAGAACGGCGTTACATGCGATGTCTGCAAGGACTTCTTCAAGTGGGCTGAGGACGAACTCGAGAAGTACACAGTTCCATACCTTTGGAAGCTCGTCAACGAGAAGTGCCCCAACGTCCCATACCTCCGCCAGTTCTGCAAGATCATCAACGTCCAGAACATTGAGACATTTGTAAACCTCCTCATCTCCCAGGCTCCACCAGCCAAGTGCTGCCAGTTCCTTAAGATCTGCCAGTAAAACCTTCTGACTAATCTCTAAGTTTTAAAGTTTGATTTTATTTATCTTCTCTAACTTGAAATTCTTTTATCTTTTTATCCAAGGTAAAAAAGAATTAATCAGAACTTATTTTTAAATCTATGCTTTCATTTATTATGGTTTGATTAATAATTTTGTTTTGATCATGATCTGTTATTTAGATTTAATATAATAAATAGACTTATTTATATAAGATATTATTAAACACGAGAGATGAAGGTCATAACTCAATGAATTATTTCATTGCTTTTGCAAAAATCAAAATTTCTTTTGTAAATCTCAATAAATAAAATCTGCACAGGTAAGACATTTTATTTTTAAAGAAATTAGGTCGCTGTAATTGATGATGGACATATAAAAAGTGTCTCTTTAGTGTCCTTCAAAATTGAATTCATCAAAAATTTTTGGTCGAAAAAAAAGCAAAAATCTAATAATTTTTGATGACACTCCCTTGCAACACATGCCGCATGAGATTCGAGTCAAGAGCACTCCTTACAGAGCACTATCACTCTGAATTACACCGCACAAACCTTGTTTTAAAGTCTCGTGGCCAAGATCCAATCACTGAAGAACAATTCATTGCTCTTCAGAAGAAGAAAGAGGAAGAAGCCGCTGCACTTGCACCACCACAACCAGAGATGCCACCACAAGATGAAGAAGAAGATAAAGAAGAATTCCACTACGAACTTTGCCGCGATAAGATAAATTTTAGAAGGATTTTCCTCATATGATTGCTCCTCGGAAAACGGGGGGAGAAGAGATTCCGTATGAAAATCGCAAGAATTTGGCTCCTGGTTTGAAAGGTTATTATGGTTCATGAGGACTTTTTAGTCAAACCCATGTGCAATGTGGGCTTCAACCTCGTTAAATGCTTGTTTATATTTCTGATGTTAGATGAACTATATAAGCACCGAACGTCGGAGAGATGGAAAAGAAAACTTCAAGCAAAAAGATAAGGTCATGAATCCAAAGACAAAAGCATACAGAAACAAGAAATACCGCGTTCAGTACAAAAGGAAAGGAAAAGAGTTATAAGTATATGATATCCATACTGAAGAAGTTGGAAGAAAGAAGAAGACAGCAGATATGGGTTATGTTGCATTTTTAAGTCAGAAGAAACAACAAAAGCTTTTTATGACCTGCTAAAGATTTTACAAATCTGACAGAAAACTGGTTCTACAATCGATGAAAACTTACCCGATTTCAATGACATAACCGAATGAGCAAATAAAGGAAATTGTCAAAAAATACTCTTCTCAAACCAACACTATGACATCAAAGGTTGCAACAAATACTTACATTCAAAAGAAGACTAAACATTACTGAAGGAAAAAATAACAGAATATTTCGATAACTTCAAAGAGGAAGAATAAAAAAATCTTAGCTAATTTTTTTAAATCATAAGACATTAACGGAAAGTGAACTCAAACAAAAAGGAACACAATGCATTTGCCAACCAAATAACTTTAACAAAGCAAAAAACTTAAAATTACTTGTCAAGCTTAACTATTCTTATTTTACCAAGTGTAAAAAATTAAAATTCTAAATATGATTATGTTTACTAGTAACGAGGTTCATTACTTAGATAGTGATATCTATTGTCTATCCGACGATATATCATGCTGATATATTAATAACAGCATTAAATATTTCAATTGATTCACAAATCAACTTATGCATCGTCACATTATTTTACAGTTATCACAGATAATAGACATATCATACCGCACTTTTTGTAACACATAAAATATTTTTAGATTTCAATAATGATTTAACGGTTTTTTTCAAAACTTATAAATTTAAAATGAGTGGTAAAGAATCTTCGATTTTAAATTGATTAGAATGGTTAAATCAAGCCCTAATCAACAAATGATCACGTGCCAGCCGTAGTGATCGCCGACTGCGTCGCGAAGAGCGTGGTCCAGGGGAAAGCCGTATCAGTCCACGCAAATCATGGTCCAGTATGTAACTGAGGTACTGGTGAACAACGAGACGTCTGGCTTAGCACAACTCATATGTCGAATTTAGACCTCTGTCAGATTATACGTTCGTAACATAACAACTTTTAAAAACGCTCTTGAATATTCAATCAAATTGAAACGATTAGTCGCACGGCATACATGCACGTAAATATGGGTCCAAAAACTATAAAGATATATCCACCACAAAGAAAGTTAAGGATGGTACAATAAGTGGATCTGTCCAAAATTTACATAATAAAGTTGCAAGATATAAGATCATAGATAAGATAGTCTACTACGCTCCACGGTCGCCTTTCATCACACGGACTACCGAGAACGATCTATTCAGACAGATCGTCAAATGATACTTGAATCGCTCGACACATCAATGAGCGAAACAAACGTCCAGACACCGAAAAATATTTCAAACTGTCTGCAGTGACTTTCCCATACTGCCCACAATACTGGATGACTCCAGGAGCGCGAGGAATCAAATCAGAGTTGATTACAGTTCTCACTGACATTTCAAGATGACTATATAACTGAAAAGTATATCGTCACATTATTGCAAGAACTCTTCAAATTCTCCCAGACGGATCTAGCCAATGCGCAAGCCGCGAAGAATTTCTATTCGAATATAGACGAGTACAAATCGTTCGCCAACATTCAATTGATACAAGAATCGGATATAAATTCAGAAGATGACCCATATTTCAATACGCACAAATCAGCCTTACACATCTTTGAAAAAAACTACAAGATTATTTTGACCGTAATTATTGAACATTCAATTTTCCGAAAGAACTGTTAATAAATGTTTCAAACTCTCAATCTTTGCACACCGCCAAAAAATTCAAAGGCAAAAGGTCAAACAAAATACGAAGCTTTTTACGTTAATGAAATATGGCATGTAGATATTCACTTTTTAAATCATCGCCAAGGTGAATATCTATATGCCGTTTTGACGATAAATCACGAAAAATTTTGGCTTGGTCACATTCGAAACTAAAGAAGCGGCACAAACAAGTCGTGTCATAACAATTTTCGATGTATATGGCAAACGCGTTTGCCATATGGAGTGACAATGGGCTTGAAAACTACGGTGTTTTCAAAAATTTATTAAAAAATGCAAACGTCGAATCAATCACGATAATACCACACTGCCCTTACATGAATGGCAAAATCGAAAGATTTTGGCAGAATATTCAAGTTGATGAGGTAGCTGGGATCAAATTCAAAATTTAATCGAAAATTATAACGCAAACACCACATACACAGTTACCAAAAAATCCAGAATACATACCTGGTTTACACCAAACAAATTTTATGATATCAGCGAATAATGATACCACCAAAGAACCCCTTTGAAAGTTGATGGAGAAATTAAGGATTTGAGGATTTCTCTTCAACATTTCCGCGAGAGGAAGGCCAATCAAAGAAATTAATTCGTAATATTTTAAAATCGAAAATAAAATCTAATTTTTAACCCAAATTAACAATATCGATTACATCTTCTTACTAAGCTCAGTCAGATTAATAAGAATAAACACTTACTTTTTTAAAACATTTACATATTTTTTTTCTTCGTTACAGAGATACGCAAGTGCAAAAGAAGCAGCAACTGTAGTACAGTAATTTGACACTCCGAAATCGAACATTAGTGAC